ACTTATCTCTATATTCTCATGACCTAGCTGTATTCTTTTTCTGTAACAAATTGGCTTCAGAGACTCCCACTTAGAATAGAGTGGAGTGATAAGGAAATTGTGGTAATATATAGCTCACCACATGTCATTTTAGTGGTTCTGAGGGCCTTATATCTGGAGAGAAAGGAATTAAAACTCAGGCTTGACCTGCCTAAAATGGAACACCTATTCATGTTGTTTTATTTTTAATTTCTATTATGTAATCTGGGAGCCTTCCTGGAGATCAGGATTGAGCCCAAGTAGCCATGAGGTGAAGAGGGGGGATATCTGAACAACAAGAATTGAAACTGAGCAAGGTGTGGTGGAGCATGCCTGTAATCCCAGCAGCTTGGGAGCCTGAGGCAGGAGGATTGCAAGTTTGGGGCCAGCCTCTGCAATTTAGCAATCCCTAAACAACTTAGCAAGACCCTGTTTCAAAATAAAAGATTTTGGGAATGTATCTCAGTGGTAAAGTACCCTGGGTTCAGTCGCCAGATTAAAAAAAACAAACAAACTAGAATTCTACACCTATACCTTAATTCAACTTCTGCTTTTCACAAAAAGGGTGAGGTTAGTGAAGTGGGAGAAGGAGTTAGGGAGAAGACTGAGGGAAGAGACAGGTGCTGAGCTCAGGAAGGAAGAAGGATAACTGAAGGAAAGAGCAAGAAGCTGGGCTTGAAGAAGATGGATAGAGAAAAATAAGAATAGAAGACAAGGGGCCTAAGTGGAACTTAAACATTCATTCTCAAGAATACCTAGGCAAATGAGCATCTGTAAAGTTTAGTGCATACATTTTTCATCTTGCTTTCACTTGGAAATTACTACCTCCTATAGTTCAAATGTGTCCCCCCAAAAGTGCATTTATTGGAAACATGGTTCTCAATATAGCAATGTTGATTTGTGGGAAGACTTTTGGGAGGAGATTGGGCTATGAGGGCTCTAGATGAACCCCACTCATTGATCAATGGTTAATGGGTTATCTTGGGAGCAGCAGAGCAAGTAGATCAGGGCAAGGGAAAAGGGGAGGGAAAGGAAAGTACTGGTGAAGGAGACTGAGCAAATTATATCATGTGTATATATGAATATGGCATAATGAATTCCACTATTTTCTATAATTATAATGTACCCATAGGAAAAAAGTGAGCTTTCTTTGGCTTTCTTGCTCCTTGTTTGTGTGATGGCTTCCACCATTTATGATACAGCAAGAAGGCCCTCCTCACCAGATGCTGAGCAGATGCTGGCATGTGCTTGTGAACTTTCCAGCCTCCAGAGCCATGAACCAATCAAAATCTTTTCTTTATAAATTACCTCATACCAACTATTTTGTTATAGAAAAAGAACTAAGACCCCCACCTGCTGCCCAGATCTGAGTGGCAGCTTAAGAGGGATTTCATTTAGATTCCCTCAAAATTTGGGAGTTGATATTTTCCAGGGTCGAAGGGGGGCTTATTTTTCAATTCTCTCACAACCTTGCCATCTCTTCAATCAGGCAGTTGTCCTATTCACAGGAGGACTGTTAGCCTTCTCCTGAACCCAGCTGGGAGCTCTGCTGAGGGTGCTCTTGGAGCAGGCCCTTAAAGTACATCTGGCACACTTAGGGCCACATGTGCCCACTATCCAAGAGGCACTGGGAAAGAAACAGCAGTGAGATGCATTCAGGACTAAAGTTCAGTGCCCTCTGCAGATTCCCTGAATCCTACAGCCTTTTCCTGTTACCCTGTCCTATGAACTCCAGCTGTCTTGGTCAGCCTGAAATCTCAGCTACATATCATCTCAGGGGCCTGCCTGATTCTGCCTGGGTTTCCCCTCCCTGCACTTATTTGAGGCACTAAGTTGGGGCGATTATAGGGCTTGCCTTGTTTCCTGTCTCACATCAGTTTTCCTTGCTTGATGCCAAGTATCTTTAAAACCAAAAGTTTTTTTTGTTTTTTTCAAGTGGGAAGGTAAATCTTATCTGTTGGTTCATCTTGGCTGAAAGTGGTAGTTCACCCACCACATTTTTTTTCTTTTTTGGTTCTGGGGATTGAACCCAGAAGTGCTTAACCACTGAGCCACATCCCCAGATCTTTTTTTTTTTTTTTTCTTTTTAAAATTTTATTAGAGACAGAGTCTTGCCGATTTGCTAAGGGGCTCACTAAGTTGCTGAGGCTGGCTTTGAACTCTCGATCCTCCTACCTCAGCCTCCCAAGCCACTGGGATTACATGCATGTGCCACAGTGCCCAGGTCATCCACCACATTTATTCCTAGTAGAAAAACCTCTCTATATAACTTTATTTCCAATGATAAAATGTATTTTTAAATTACATATTCATATAGCCCTTGCTATGTGTAAAAAACTTTTAGGTACTTTTGCATATGGGTATTAAGGCATATAATCCTCACATATCTTTATAATATTATTACTCCATCTTACAGATATAGAAACTGAGAAACAAAATGGTTAGGTGACTGGCTCAAAGGCACACGATCAGATAGGTGACAGAACTGGGATCTGAACCCTGAGAGGTTACATAGATGCTTTGGGACATTTATGTATTTAAATATGTAGACATCAACTCACCCATTTATTTCTGTTTCTTCCTCTCATCTATATTATTTATATATCTTGGCTAGCATGTTTTGAGCACCTAATGTTTTCTACCAAGGTTCTGAGACACTGGGGAGCAACCTTTGCTGTCTGCCTTGATGCTCCCTAGCTGTGGGACTTTGGGCATGCGCTTATGTCTCTTTCTATGTGTCTCTCTCTCCCTCCCCTCTCTCTCTCTTGGTAGTACTGGGGATCAAGTCCAGGGCTTTGTTTATGCTAGGACAGCACTCTACCATTGAGCTACACACCCAGCCCTATGGCAACTCTCTCTTGTAGTTGCCTCATCCTAAAATAGGAATAAGAATATATTTACCAAGTTGTTGTGAATGTGAAATGAGTTAATATGAAAAGAACTTTTTACAGTTTCACATGCTAGTACTATATAAGCATTAGCTTTTCTTGTCATGTTTGCTCAATGCAAGACAGCCCACAATGAGAAAGGCTAGGGGCTGGGATATAGCTCAGTGGTTAAGTGCTTGCCTAGAATGTATAAGGTCCTAGGTTCAATCCCCAGCATGGAGTTGGAGGCACTGAGAGGAAGAAGGGCTGGAAGAAAATAAAAATAGGAGGACTTTTATCCTAGTTGCTGGGATGAGGAGGAGGATATGAAGATGATGTTTAGTTTCTCTTCCAAAGAATGGTACTGGCTATCTGTTTTGTCTATATCTTTAGTTGTGGGTTTAGGAAACTGCCTAGAACAAAGGTCCATTCCTCATCTTAGTTGTTTTTCTAACGTGCTTCCCTTTGGTAAGACCCTCAAAACTCCCTTAGGTGTTAGGTTTGAGGACTTCTTATTTGGCAGGCTATGGATAGAACAGATAGAAAACAGAAGTTGACAAGATATGTGGGGATGGCACACGTCTCACATAAGTGTCACTGTGTGTGTGTGTGTGTCCGTCCTTCAAAGAGAAGACTTAAGATACTCTGGTAGTATGGTTACCCCACTAGATCCTGGGGCACCTGGAGTTGGAGGCATGGAGAGAAAGGAAGGCTGGAAAGTGTTTGTGCCTGATGCTCAGACTTGGTCAGTGGTTGGTTCAGTTTCAGAATCTCCATCTTATGTGTGTGTGTGTGTGTGTGTGTGTGTGTGTGTGTGTGTGTGTGTGTGTGAGAGAGAGAGAGAGAGAGAGAGAGAGAGAGAGAGAGAGAGAAGATCAATCTCCAATTGATAATTATGCACATTACTAGGTACAAACTGTGGGGAAATGCACAGGCTGTAATACGTAGTTCCATTATTGTGGAGGAAGAGGGTCGAAAGAGACCTGGCTAGGAGTTCAACCTTAAGTGTGGGCAGCTGGAAAGCTGACTCCCTTCTCCCCAGCTGTTTACCTTGAGGTGAGGCTCTGGAGCTCTGTTCTGGATCTTACTACAGTCATCCCTCTGTATCCATGGGAATTGGTTCCAGGACCACTCACTTATACCAAAATTGTCAGATGCTTAAGTCCTCTATATGAAATGGCATAGCATTTGCATATAACTTAAGTGTATATTTCCAGATAATTTAAATCATCTCTACATTGCTGTTAATACCTAATACATTATAAATGCTAGGCAAATAATTGTTGTATATTGTTTAGCGATTAAAGACCAGAAAAAAATCTGTACATATTCAGCACCAATGCATTTCCCTCCTGAATATTAGATCTGTGGTGGGTTGAATCCATGGAAGTGGAACTTGTGGTTATTGAGGGCCAATTGTATTCGGTGATGGGCTGGTACAGTAGCAAAGAAAATAAAAAGACACACGTGAGACATCCTGTGTCCTCAGTTACTCTTCCATTTTCACCATGGTCTTGGAGCTTTTCTAAGAAGTTAAGAGGAGAAAAAAAAAGACATGCTCACAAGTTCTGCTGGCCTTTGTGCTTGTCTCTCTGCTTGGCCCAGGCCCTGCTTTCATTGTCTGACTTGGGTGATAGGTTCATAATGGCCCCATGGAAGATGTGGTTGTGGACAATGGAGAATCTCACAGTAGGGATATCCAGAAAGACCACATGAGAATCTTGGAAGAGCAAGAAACTGAACTTGGAGAATTCCAGAAGGCCACAGGGTGGAAAGGTGTTTGTTCCAAGTCAGGGAACAGTAGGGATATAAGAAAGGCTTCCATTTGGTGTATATGGATTCTGATATTATCCATTGAATGTCTACAATTCACTATTGTTCATGAATAAATTCATTATGACAGTAATGAATAAATTCATTGACAATAGAATAAATCAGACATTTTCCTATGTTCATATATGCATACACAACCAGTGTAACTCCACATCATGTACAGCCATAGAAGTGTGAAGTTATACAGTCTACTGTCATATATAACTAAAAAGAATAAAAAATTAAAAAAAAATAAACTCAATTATTCATTCACATAATCACAAAGCATCCAGCTACCAGAGCAGCCAGAAACTTCTCTGAATACTGATGGCCCAAATGGTTGCTATTTTTTTTTTTTTTAAAGAGAGAGTGAGAGAGAGAGAGAGAATTTTTTTTTTAATATTTATTTTTTAGTTTTCGGCAGACACAACATCTTTGTTTGTATGTGGTGCTGAGGATCGAACCCGGGCCGCACGCATGCCAGGCGAGCGCCCTATTGCTTGAGCCACATCCCCAGCCCACAGTTGCTATTTTGAAACTAAACTCCTGAGTGGTTAGCAGGAGAGATTTGTACCAATAGGGGGTAGATCTCAGGGCTGTCCAAGAACTAGGCACTCCACTAGTTGGGGAGAACCCCTGTCTTCCTACAGTGAGATCCCAAGGCCAGTCCAGTCTGGGCACAGGGAGGGAAGCAGTGCCAGCAGTGGCCAGTGGTGGTGCCCTCAGGACACTTAAATCAATGTGCCCTGCTGGGTGGGAAGGCTGTTTTTCTCAGGGGTCTGTGATCTGGGGGAAGAAACTGCAAAGCTTTCATCATGACCTTGCCAGATTTGCAGGCCTCTTCTCTGCTTCCAAAGGTGCTCAGAGCCCTCCTAACTTGCCCTTCACCTCCCATTCCTAAAATTATATATATTTTGGGGGTCCTGCAGTGTCCTCTAGTTTTCCCCACTTTCTTTCCACGCCCTGACCAAAAGTCACAGAGTACCTTGAACGTTCTGTGATCCAGTCAGCAGCAGGTGTTCCCCCAGCAAGCTGATGTTCAAGCTAGGGTCTTAGAACATCCCCTGCAGGGACATGTTTACATAATGTTATGGTTTGGATCTTAGATGTCCCTCAAAAACCTATGTTTTGAAAGCTTAGTAGCCAGTCTATGGTGTTGCTGGAAAGTGGTGGAACTTTAGGATGTGAGGCCTAGTGGAAAGAAGTTAGGTGACTGGGTGTGTGCACCTGGGGGGGGGGGGCGCATTAGGACCCCAGCCCTTTCCTCTTTTTTGCCTCCTGGCTGCCATGAGGTTTCCTCCACTGTGATATTCTGCTATGCCATAGGTCTCAAAACAATGGGGCCAAGTGACTATGGCTAAAACCTCTGGAACCACGAGCCCAAAACAAATCCTCCTTTTAAGTTGTCTTTCTCAAGTATTTTCCCAGTGAGGGAAAGCTGACTAAAACACAGAGAAAAGCTGCAAAATCTATGGGAGGGAGGCAGTATGATAATTGGGTAGAAGTTGTGGGGGATTAGTGTGCAAAGTTATCAGAGGCTTATAGAGATGCTTTAGGATCCCTCAAATTCCAAAATGTATTTATATGTCCATGGTTAAAAACTGAACTAACCTCTAAGTAAAATACAATTAAAAAAATAGTCAAAGTCATGTCCAGTTGCCAAGGGTCTCATAATCCAGTTAAGTAGTAGACACTGCCTGAAGCTCAGGACAGCATTTCCCTTAGCAAGAGGAATGGTGGATTCTATCTGGCAGATGTTGTCTGGGACGCCTTGGGGGACTCTTGAGAACAAGAAGTTAGGATGAGGGATGCTCCAGAAGTGGGAAGATAAAGACTGAAGATTAAGTGGAAGAAAGTCCTTTAGGCCAGGAGGCCACTACAGTGGCTATCTGCTCTCCTTCTAGTCAGAGCTCTTCTGTCCACCATCCCCCTGCCCTTAAGGTCCTGTGGCTTCCATGCAGGTGTCATGCCTAGGTGAGAAGGCCATGTGAGCTGAGGGGCCTGCACTGACCACCAAGGTGGGGAAAGCCAGCATAAAAAGGCAGTGAGGTACCAAAGCAAGGGTTGCTGATAGATATCAAGGATAGTTGTAGATGTGTTCAGGCAGCTTTTAAAATAAGTAGCCAATAAGGCCATTAAGAAGACTGAAGTGACCTTATCCTTACAGTGGTACGCAGCCTGAGGTCTGCTGCTGTCCTCTGTACAGCCCATGGCCTCTCTGCCCTTTTTCCACATTGGAAGAGATGGTCCTATAAGCCCTCAGCACTAGAGGCATTTAGGGTCCTGGACATGGAAAAGTACAGATCTAGATAGGAACTTCCATGTCCTTATTCCCAGGGCTCTCACTTATGTAAACCAATCCTAGGAGGACAGGTCCACCTCAGTCTAAAAGCTCCCTGACCTTCTATAAACCCCCTGTCCTGAAAGAAGCCATGCAAGATGCCAGCCTAAGTCCTATCCTTACCCATAAAGGATCTAACTTCGAGGGGGTAGGGTTTGGGGGTAGATTAAATCAGCTGTAGGTCTGGGGATCCAGAGGAGTCTGAAGTCTTGGGAGAGAGGCACAGAAAGGTGAAACAGCTGTATCAATGTGAAATAAGACTGGACAGCCAGCAGCTTCCTCCAACCTGCTTCTGCCACCCCTTCTACTCAGGGAAGAAGGGTTGGGTGTACCTAGGCACTCATGCCCAGACTCGCCTTTTAGCTAGACTCCACTCCAACCATCCAGCCAGAGAACTCTGTTTTTATCAGTGAAATTAAAACATGTTTATTACTGTAAAACTTTATTAATACAGGTCCATAATCCCTTACTTGAAACCTTTGGGTCAGATGTATTTATAATTCCTTGAATATTAGAAAGGATTCTATCTGGCAGATGTTGAATATATTAGCATTTCAGTAGAGAATTGCAAAAAGGCACACTAGAAGAAATTAAGGGTATAAATGATCTCACTTCAGTTCGGGTCAGGTTTGATGCCCAAATTAGGAAAAAACCCTTGGCTTTTGGGTGTTTTTGCATTTTAGAATTGCAGGTAAAGGATTGGAGACCTGTACTTAACTGCACATTTACAGAACAGCATAGTTGTCGTTGAGACTTGGTGCAGTGGTGAATCACACAGATGGCAGTCAGACTGCCTGGTCTCATTACAGCTCTGCCTATGGCTCACCCTCTCTGGACCTCAGGTTTTTCACCCACAGCACAGGATTATTCTTCCACATATGCATGTTAGGAGGATTAAACAGCTTAATGAAAGTAAAGTGCTTAGAACCTTGCTTGATAATACACATAGAAAACCTTGGTGTCACTGAGACAGACATTTAAGTGCCATTCTTCAATAAGATCTAAATTACTAGCTCACTGTTGAGGCCCTGCAGGCCACAGCACAGGCTGGAAAATTTTTTGTAGTATCAAAGTCTTTCACATTCTTGGGCTTTGGTTTCCCAGAGAAGTAGAACATGGAAGTTTCAGAAGTTCTTGTAAGAAGGCTCTGTCATGGTTCCTGTGGATCCGGTAGGCTCCTAGCTAGAGGACAAACATGATGAAGAAGAGGCAGAGGAGGCTCCTCCATGAGTCCATTATCCACTGAAATCCAACAACCCCATAACAGTGAAACACTTACTTGCCCGAGTCCCTGGCTTCCTCTCCATTCCAACCCACCAGCCCCTTGCATATCATATAGCCTATGAGACGATAACTGTTTTTGTTTTCTTGGAACTTGAGATTGAACCCAGGGCCTTGTGCACACTAGGCAAGTGCTCTACCACTGAGCTATATCCTTAGCCCTTCTTAAAAATTATTTTGAGACAGGATCTCACTAAGGTGTACAGTCTGACCTTGAAATTATGATCTTCCTATCTCAGCCTCCTGAGTAGTTGGCATTGCCAGTAGCTGGAATGACAGGTGTGTGCTCTCACACCCAGCTATTGTTGCATAATCAAAGGAGACATGAGGGTTTTGCCCTATTGGAAGGTGAGGCTGAGAGCCTTTCCTGAGTTTCACACTTAAACATTTCCATATGACACAGCAAAAACAGATATTTCCCTTATTGTAGCAAGTAACATGTGTTCACTGTCAAAACTCAAACCATTCAAAAGGACAGGAAATAAAATAGGACTGTGTGTTGTTTCCCATCCTCCAGCTGCCTGCAAGTAAATAATAGACTCCTGGGCATCTGTCCTTTTGAGTTTTCCACATAAACAGGACACTGTCACCTTGACCACTCTATTTTCTTTACAAAAGGGGGTCATATATACATACAAGAACATATTTCTAAAAATAGGCACATATTTAGGTGGGAGTTCATAACCCACTTGAATCAAAGTGTGGAATATGATATGTCAAGAAATTTGTAATGTTTTGAACAACCCACAATAAAAAATTAAAAAAAAATAGGCACATATTCATAAATTTCTTCTCAGTACTAACAGATGGATGCCAAGACATTGTCCATATAATTCCTCCTAACTGTTGTTCCGGTTTTCCCTTAACTGATTGGAGCCTCAGTTTCCAAGTCAGGGAAGTGGGGATAAGAATAATGTAGCCAAATCCACAGGATGCCCATGAGGCTCAAGTGTGAGATATATATATATATAGATATAGATATAGATATAGATAGATAGATAGATAGATAGATAGATATAGATATATAACATGAAATCATTCTGCAAATTGTCAAGTGGGAAACAGATCTGAGGAACTGTTATTACTGCCCTTCTATCTGCCCCCAACAGGAAATGTTTAGATTTTTTTGTTTGGTATTATTTTTTTTGCAATGCTGGGGGATGGAGCCCATAGTCTTATATAGGCTAGGCAAATGTTCTACAATTAAACTACATCCTGAGCCCTGAAATGATTAGATTTTTTAGAATGACTTCAGGAATGGAAAAACCATATCAGTTGCAGATATCATGTATAAGGAGGCTGGCAGAAATAAGAAGATAGGATAGACTCTTTGTGGTCAGATCACAGCTATCAGCCAGTTAGTTTAGGGTTTCTCTAGGGGACCCAAAATGCCCCTACAAAATACTTCCTTGATTTTGTAATGGGGAATTTTAATCAGCAGAGAGTCTGAGCAGCTTCTGTCCTTGCTGGGCTTTGGGAGTTAAGATTATCTTCTCCACCTGCAGGGAGGAAGGAGGGAAATGACAGATTGTTTTCTCCCTACCAATGCTTGGAATTGCTGGCTCCTGCCAGGGATGGTCTAAGATAGTGGGAGGGATCAGGGGCTGAGGCCAGGGCTAGAGACAGGAAGTGCCTGTCCCAATGCCTCTACCATCTTTGGTTCTAAGGCATCTTAGCCATGCTTGGGAGTATTAGGGCTTTTTTTCCACATATAACCCACCCAGCCTACAAATAAACTGGAGCTTGCCTGTAAAACTTCTCTCTGGTGTAGGGAAAAAAGAACACAAAACAGATGAGGTGGGTGGTGGGCAGGGGTGGGAGAAGGGAAGCAAAGTGGTCCTGAATTCCCACCTTTGCCCTCTGCCTCTCTTTCTGGGCCCTTTCCAAGATCAGACTAAATGCTCTCATTTTTTTTTATAGGGCTGCATCAGCCAGGAGGACCTCTCACACCTTTGTTTCTTCCTCACTTACCTTGAAGACACTTCTTTTTCAGTATCACAATTACAGCTACCAGCCCAACAAAGACCAGGACAGTGACCCCACCAAGTAGTGTGCCATTGCCACTGTCATTGCCAATAGAGGATGAGTCTAAGGAAGACAGAGAAAAGAGTCCAAGACCATGGGGTTGTCTACAGGTGTCCTGGCACCACCCTCTTCCCCATCTTGACTCCTCCTCAAGGTTAGCTCCTCACCCCATGCCACAGTGAGGGTGTGCTTCAGGCCAGGGTGCTGCACGTGGCAGGTATACCAGGCCTCCTTCCCAGCTGGCACCCGAACTGATGTTCATGTCTGATAAGTGCCATCCCCACTGGGGCGTGTCTCCACATGCTCAGTCTCCAGGACCAGCTCCTTCCTACCCAGCCACCAGCTCAGTGAGATGTCTGGTGGGTAGAAGCCCAAGGCCCAGCATCTCAGCATGGTCCCATCCTGGGTGGTGTGCTTTGTCACCTGCACCATGGGAGGCTCTGCAGGAAAAGGAGAGAACAATGCTGGTAAGCACCTCTCTGCTCATTCATTCTTCATGCTTTATCTCCATGGAGATCTTCCAAGTGTGGAGGACAGGAAGAAGGTAGGGATAGGATCTCTCTAGGGGAGGCACTCATGTTGAAACTTTGTAGGCATAGCTAAAGGGGCAGTGCCCTGAAAATTTCCAAAGGGGATGTGACTTCCTATTCCTAACCTCTGAGTAGGGTCCTATGTGGCCATATCCACCACCTTTTTCACTCATAGATCCTAGGATTTTTTTCCCCCAGAGACTTTATATACCTACTCTTTGACTTCCAGCACATAGTAGGTACCTAACAAGTGGTTGTTAAATGAAGGCAAGGATGATAATACTTCCCTCACCTTAAAACTAGGATGGGGAGGAGTTTGAAGCCCCGCATGACCTCTTTCCAGCTTGGTGACCTGAGGGAGGCCTTTTAACTCTTCATTTTCTCAAAGCTTAATGGGGGATTAATCATTCTTTTTTTTTTTTTCAGGGTTGTTCAAAATAAGATGATCTTGGTAAATGATGTAGACCATGTCTTGTGCTAAGTGAGAATTTAACAATCATTGTGTAACATACCATAACATGGAGTTTTGGAAAGTGGGCATCATTATTACTATGCTATTCTGAAATATAGCATGTCCTGGCTCATAACTCCCTTCCCAAGACATCTCCACTGGGGCGTTTCTCCATGTGCTCAGCCTCCAGGGCCAGCTCTTCTAGCCATGATTGTAATGAGATGTCTCATGGGTAGAAGCCCAAGGTCCAATACCCTAGCATGGTCCCATCCTGGATTGTGTGCTAGAATTTCTTTTCCCCATGGCTGGTTATAGAAACTCTAATCTTTCTCCATCTGTATTGAAGCTGACCATAAAGAAATTCTCTGACCTATCTTTGTCCAATAGATCAGACCATCCTCATTCCAGAAGGGGCCTTCCTCATATCCTGGAGGGAAGAATGCTGTACAGAGAGGCCAGAAAAATGCTGCAGCAGGCAGGCCATAGGGGGTTTCCCCACCCAGTCTATTATCATTAGTGCCTATGTAATGGAGTCCCCATACAAACCCAAAGGACAGGGTTTGGAGGGATTCCACATTGCTGAACACATAGAGATTCCTGGAGAGTGGCAGGCCCAGAGACAGCATGGAAGCTCCACACCTCTTCTCTTTCCACATTCTAAACATATCTTTATCTGTATCCTTTGTAACATCCTTTATAATAAACCCATAAACATAAATGTTTCCCTGAGTTCTGTGAACCACCAAAGCAAATTAACGAAACCCAAGGAGTGGGTTGTGAGAATTTATAGCTCGTTGGTCAATTAGAAGCACAGTAAAACAACATAGGATTTGTGACTGGCATCTAAAATAGGGGTGGGGAAAGTAGACCTGGGGACTGAGCCCTCAATCTGTGATCTGGCACTGTTTCAAAGTAGACAGTATCAGAACTGAATTGGATTAGGGTATGCCTACAGACAGGGTGTTCATTGTCCAAGACAATGCTGTGGGTCAGCAGAGAGCCCAGAATTCCTTACTCTATCACACCTGGAGCAAGGGATCAAGGTTCAGTTTTGTGTGAGGAAACTGTTGGCTAATTGGCCCTCCCTTTGGAGGGAGGGATAAGCTGTGTCCCCTTAGTGAGCTCTTCCAAGAGGACATAGCTTATCCCTTCTTCTCTCCCAGGCTTCTCTGTCAAATGGGACACCTCTTGTGAATGGGAGTATATGGCTCACTCTTTGCATGGCTGCTGCTGACTGGGCCTTACCTATCCAAGTGAGGCTCTGGCTTCCCAGCTCCAGATACCTGTGCAGGGAGATGAGGCAGAGGCTTTCCAGGTAGGCCTTGTCATACTCTGCATAGCAGCGCTCCATCTCCCACCAGCGCTTGGTCCGCACAGCCACTGGCTCTGCTGACACCCAGCTCAGTGTCTCTAGGTCCAGAGACAGGTGGTCCTGTCCATTGAAGCCAAATTGCCAGAAGCTGCTGGACCTGCCATCTTCCTGGATCTCACAGCCAAACATGCGCTGAGCACTGTGTGTACCTGTATATGCAGGCCAAAAGGCCCTGGTTATTGAAGGCCACAAGGCCAGAGTCTAGAGAGCCAGGGAGAAGCCTGCCACCTATGGGCCCTCCAAATGGTGGGGTGGGCATTGGCATTTAAAAAAAAAAAAAAAAAAAAAAGCTACCCAGAGAATTCCCATGAGCAGCTAGGGTTATCCACATACCGCCACTCTGATTGTGGTAGCCCATCACTGTCCACATCTCCACCTGCTGCACCTTCTCCCAGGCCCTCTGTTTCTGGGTTTCTGTCTCCCAGTACTGGGCATCCACTAGTGCCATCCACGGGGCCTGAGGCTCAGCCTTCCCTCTGCAACTGTCATACCAGATGAAGGGCTGGTCGTCCACATAGCCCACAGCCAGAAACTTCTGGAGGCCTGGGCATGGCTCTGATAGGGTTAGGTAGTGGTAGTGAAGTGAATGGGTCCCTGTAGAAACACAAAAATGGTCTCAAGTTCACACACACAGCTGGGACCTGTATGAGGTTTGTAACAGGATGGAGTGAAGGGTAGAAACCTATCCAAAAAATATTCTGTCAGCAAGTTTAAAAACTGGGAATTTTAAGGGCAGCTTAGTAGTAGAGTGCTTGACTAGCCAGCATGAGGCCTGCAGTTAAATTCTCAGCAAAGCACATACATACATACTCACACCCCAAAAATGCAAAACTGGAAATTTCAGTTAAAAAAAGAAAGGATGGGGGAATGGAATGGGGAGTTATATTTAGTGGGTATAGAGTTTCAGATTAAGAAGATGAAAATATTCTAGAAATGGATGGTGACGATGGTTATCCAATAATGTGAATGTATTTAATGCCACATTAACTATATACCTAAAATTTTTGTTATGTATTTGATCACAATAAAAGGCATCCAAATAGCTTAAGCAATCGATCAATTAAACACTTAAAGTTCATGCATTAAAGCTCATGGGCTTTACTCCTAGAAAGTTCTCAGCATCTCATTCATGGTCTAGTTATTCAGATCTTACAGTCATCTCTGTAAGTAATGATCATCTCACAATTTAAAAGAATATGGTTTTTAAAATCTTGGTTGTTTGGAACCTTAATTTATTTAAACATTCTCCAGAGAAATTTGATCAAGTCCATCCATCATTCTTTTCTTGAGCCATCTTGCCAAGTTGGTGGTTTATTATTTTTTTAAACAGTGCTGGGGATTAAACCCTGGACATCTCTCATACTAGGCAGGGGCTCTACCAGTGAGCTACATCCCCAGCTCAAGTTGGTGGCATCTTGATCTCCACTCCCTGCTTTCTTCTTCTCCCACAGACATTGCTAGTCCATCTGTTCTGAAATTCAAATGCTGCCTCAAGGTTACTCTGTACCATGTCTCCAGAAGCCTCAATTCAACCATTCAGTGTTTCTAGAGATGAAATCTATTTAGCAGCCAGTCTTGACTCCAGCTATTAAAATAATGCTGTATCTTTTAAAAAAGTCACTGCACTGGGCTGAAGGTGTAGCTCAAGGGTAGAGCATATGCTTAGTAGGCATGAGGGTTCACCCAAAAAAGTAAAAGAAGAAAATTCACATTTTTTTTTCTCAGAAATATCCATGGCTCACTCCCTTACCTAATTAAGCAGAGTTTTTACTTGCATGTCACCTTCTCAGTGAGGGCTTTCTTGCCTACTCCATTGAATATTGAATACTTATCCTCCCATCTCTGTATTATTTTTTCTTCAGAGTACTACAATCCTATCTACAAAATGCACTTTGTTTATCTTGTTAATGGCCAGGCTCTCCCAGCAATCTCAGCTACTCAAGGACATTATAATCTCTTACTTTTTGTCAAGAACAGCACTGGGCACACAGTCAGTGACCATGTTTAAACAGTCATATGTGGAAGAAGTCAGACACATCTCCACTGTAGAGGTAGGCTGTTTACTACCTCTTTGTGATGTTCTGGCCACACCAAACTCCATCCAAGCCCTTTGAACATACTATTCCTTCTATCCCAAGAACTTTCCTCCCTCTCTTGCCTAAGTCAATTTCTTTTCATCCTTCTCTTTATAGCTCAAGTGTCCTTTTCCTTCAGGAAGCCCTCCTTACTGATTCCAGTCTGACAACCTTCAGAGGGGCCTTAACAGTGTCCTGTGCTCTCTGCTAAGATTGTGGCCTCTATGAGAGTGGGTGTTTGAGTAAACACTAGTCCTTACCTGAGAAGGCTCCTCCTCTGGGCAGTAAAATAAGCATGAACGAATGTGATAATGAAGGAAATGAACAGGGGAACTGCCTATTTCCCTGGTCTCCAATCTTTAGGTGAGGAACAAAGCAGAGTGACTTTGGTTGTAAAGTAAAACAGTGTACTCGTAAAACATCTGAAGAGCTTCAGCAATGAAGAGGTACTAAGCAACTCAGTGAGACCCTGTCTCTAAATAATACACAAAATAGAACTGGGGATATGACTCAATGGTCAAGTGCCCCTGAGTTTACTCCCCACTATCCCCCTCTCAAAAAAGAAAGAAATATCTGAAGAAATCCATCTGTTCAGTAAGCATGCAACCTATCCCATATACTCTTGCTTGAGGTGTGGGGTGGCACCCCATGGAGGTGTGTAGGCCCTCTAGCCTACAGCCACCAAGGAGACCCTGAATAATCTAATGTCCAAAACCTCTCTGTTGAGTCCTCCAAGTTCCTTCTTTGGGATTGGTAATCAGTATGTTTGGGGCATTTGTACCCCTGGGGTAAACCGTGGGTAATACATCTACTGTTTCCTCTTAAGTCATGCTTGGCTCATAGTCAGCACTTATTTTCTGCATTTGTTGAAGTGGGGGGAAAAGAAGGCATAAATGGAAGTGACAAAAATCACAAGTGCTAATTTTTGAATGATAGCTCGTGCCCTTGATAGAATGAAGAACCCCCACTGCTCTGCTTTTTATTCACTATCACAATCTTCACAATGAATTTAAGAGGTTGGTGTGATTGGCTTCATCTTACAGATGAGGTAACTGAGGCTGAGTTGTTATGATTCAGTTTCTCATGACTGCAGCTACTTTGATTCATAATCCATGATTGCTTTTCAGTAACTCTTGGTTTTCCTGAAGGAAGATAGATAGATAGAACCATTAAGAGTCCTATGTAGGGGTTTACAACCAGACTCTGGCTCCAGTGTTAGGGGACAAACAGATGAGGATGGTGGGAAAGTGAGATTAAGATAATAATTGTATAAAATGGAACCACTGTGCTGACCTTCACATACTTTCTTCACCCCACATGCTTTCTTTGCCAAAAAAGCAATTTATCTGCTGCCCTGCCAGCCTACATGGACAGGGTATGTCACAAAACTTCCTGTTATCTGCAAGAAAATGCAGGCAGGAAATAACATTGAGGAACTCAAAAAGGTACTTTGAAGGGAGAAAGATTTGTGACCCTTTTCACAGACCAGATTCTGGAAGATAAGGATAATTCCTCCTAATCACAAAACCTATAAAAAATGATTAAGAAAAAATCTAATTAGAACTGCTCAGCATGGACCAAGAGAACCTAGCATTGTCACGGCAATAAGTACTTGAAAGTCTGTTGTCACCCTGCTGTCAGTCAAAAGTCAAGAGGGGGACATGCGTAGAACTCTGGAAACTTCCCTGGGACCCCCCAAATAAAATTGGAATGCAGGAGAGACAAGTTGTCTCTCTCCTCTCTGAGAGGACCCATTTTCTCCCTTGAGAGTGTCCTCTTTCCCTTTCCTATCCCTTCAATAAACTCATTCTTGTTACTCTGAACAACATGTCTGAAAGCTTTTCTGACTTGATTGCAAGAATCTGGGTTTGGGGGGCGGGTCTTCACACTGCCTCAGTTTCCCAGATCGCCCCAGCTGTGTAATACAGGGGTGCATATAACTCTTTGATATTATCTTAAGACAAATCAGGTATGTTCCAGCCAAGATGAAGTTACCTTTGTTTTAACCCTTCTTGTCTCCCTTTTCTAACACAAATTGCTAGAATTCAAGTGGTCTTGCTGCCACTGCTTACAAAAAGACAGTACTAGAAAGAGGTGGGGTGGTGCCTGGATTCTCTCCCTAGATCTTGCTGCCTTTTTGTAAGCAGAGAAAAGAAGAAGTACCTCCTCAGAGCTGGAGAAACTTCATGGGGGTCAGAGAGGGGTCATGGTGGAGGGCTAGTTGAGTGAATGGTTGACATCAGCTTGGGTCAGCCTGAATGTGAAATTATAACAGACCAGTTCATTTTTTTAAAAGAATTATTTTCTCAAATTCCCTCAGGAATATGATTTAAAAGGCTATTTCTTCCTCCTTCCCTCCCAACCTACCCCTTCCCCTGATCTCTTCCAGATCTTTTTTTTAAATATATTTTTAGTTGTTATAGACCTTTATTTTTTTCATATGTGGTGCTGAGAATCAAACCCAGTACCTCACACATGCCAGGTAAATGCGCTACCGCTGAGCCACAGCCACAGCCCTCTTTTTTCAAATCTTTAATAACCTTTCTTTTTTACATATTATTCTAAATTCTATATACAGCCCTCAGGCTGGGGATATAGCTCAGTTGGTAGAGTGCTTGCCTTTCATGCACAAGGCCCTGGGTTCAATCCCCAGCAAGACACACACACACACACAAACACACACACACACACACAAATAGAGCCCTCTGTAATACCCTCTCCTCTTTGGAAAAGGAAATCCAGATGCTGGTCCCAGGAGGTTCCCTTTGGTGTGATGAAGAGGGAACAGAGGCTAAAAGACATGACACTCGTAGAAGTAGGCAACCTCTACCCAGCACAGGGATTTCTTGCCTTTTGTCCCATTGTATCTCCTTTTCTCCCCTCATAAATGCTGTTCCCATTTATTGATTATTGATTTTATTTCTTACACTTTAGGAGTCTTGTTAAGGAAGTCAGGGCCTAATCTGACACAATGAAGATTTGGGCCTACTTTTTCTTCTATTAGGCACAGGGTCTCTAGTCTAATTCCTAGGTCCTTGATCCACTTTGAGTTGAGTTTTGTGCAAGGTGAGAGATGGGGTTTAATTTCATTTTGCTGCATATGGATTTCCATTTTTCCCAGCAGCATTTGTTGAGGAGGTTATCTTTTCTCCAATGTATGTTTTTTGGCTCCTTTGTTCAGTATGAGATAACTGTATTTATGTGGGTTTGTCTCTATGTCTTCTATTCTGTACCATTGGTCTACACGTCTATTTTGGTGCCAATACCATGTCATTTGTTACTATAGCTTTGTAGTATAGTTTAAGTTCTGGTATTGTGATGCCTCCTGTTTCACTCTTCTTGCTAAAGATTGCTTTGGCTATTCTGGGTTTCTTTATTTTTCCAAATGAATTTCATGATTTTTTTTTTTTTTTATTTCTGTGAGAAATGACATTGGGGGGCTGGGATCATGGCTCAGTGGCAGAGCACTTGCCTCGCATGTGTGAGGCACTGGGTTTGATCCTCAGCACCACATATAAA